CTTGAAACATCACGTATTACTAATTCATAAATTTATAATATTCTCGATATATATATACAGGGTGGCGCAAAAGTCAGTTTACCCAAAAAAAATTGAGTATCTTCATTACGGTTCGAGCAAGCGAGCTGATGTTTTTATCAGTGATAGAGACATGTACCAAGTTTATGTCCATAAAGACATGTCTAGAGAAACCCTTTGTTAAGTATATTGTTTTTTCTCCTATCTGTCCAAAAGTAAAATTTTTTTTTGTTGAGATCAATAGTGGTACTTAACAAAGAGACTCTCTAGGCGTGTCTTTATGGATATGAAGCTTGAACATGCCTCTATTATTGGTAAAAAATCAACTTGTTTGCTCGAGCCGTAGTGGAGATATTCAATTTTTATTTTGATAAACTGACTTTGGGGCAACCCTGTATATGGCCCAAAAGTGACGATACCAAGAAAAAACCAAATATCTCCTCTACGGCTCGCGCAAACGGACTGATTTTTTTACCAATAATAGAAGCATGTTCACACTTTAAATCCATACGGACAAGATTAGAGAGAGCATTTATAAAGTACCACTAATGACCTCAACAAAATAATTTTACTTTTTTACACAGATAGAATAGAAAACAATATACTTAAGCGCTCATGCAGTTAAACAGCAGAGTAAAATATTACAAACTTTTTGTAAAAATTTATACTGAATACAGGCGAGAGGATTGAAGTACAAATACGTTTCAGATCGTAATATTTGGATTTACATGCAGTCTGGTTTTCACTGTGCTAGGCACATCAAAATTAATCTATTACCCAACGGAAAAGTCGCAAGAGTAACAACTGAACGGATAATTTAGGAGCTGCCGTCCCTAACCGGCAGAACCTATGTGTTGTCTGTTGTCTACTAATACGCCTAAACATCTTTGACCATCTTTAGTGGTGAGACCATTATGAAATAATTGTATGGCACATTCGATAGACTTGGCATACCTTTCCGAATAGTACTCGTATCTATGAGCTTCGTCTTGTACTTCTTGCCACGGTAACTTCTTACGAATGTTTTTTTCGGAAAAGGAACCTTCTTAAGAATTCTATCTAGAGGTTTTTGAAAAGCAAGGTATCTGACGATCATGCTTTGTATACTGTTGAATAAAGTAACGTTCTCTTTGGTTTTGACAATTGACCACGAAAATATCGAAAGTGAAAAATGTAGAAAAGGAAAAACATGGACGTGTAAAATGGTCAAAAATTAGATTTCTCAATTCTGGTTCGGAAGAGTGATACTTTAGTATCCGACGGGGTACTCTTGTAGCTGAACATCCATTAGATATACGTGTCTAATGATTGGTAGTCACTGTTGTTTTATTCAGTGCGAAAATATTTATTTTCTATATGCAAGTGCTTTCCTTTTTCCCAGTTGATAAAATAAATGGTTGGAGTTTTTGGTCTAGTGGAATCTAGTGAAGATGAAGCAGCTGCAACCATGACATTAAGTAGTTAAATTATCTAATAATTGTTGGTCTAGCTCTTTAAGTTAATATATATGAGATAATACTTATCACCGTTATTACTGGTTAGAATCCTAAAGTACTAGAATTATGAGAGAAGTCTCAATTTACTAGAGACATCACTGTTTCTGATATTTACGTCTTCTGAAATTTTTCTACTTCTATATTTATGCTGTGAAACTCAAATATCTTACAGGCAGGACTCCGTTACAGACAGTTGCCGTGCGTTACTAACAAGGGCGGTATAGAAATTGGTTACTATGTTTGTTTCACTAGCTTCAATCGTTCAATAAGATTTATCAGATTATTTATATTAGCTGCATTTTATAATAATAAATTGTAATGAATAATATAATTAATAATTATCATAATGAAGCAGTAAAAAGAAACATAGTAACAAACTTTCATATCGCGCCTCTTGATAACCAAGAGCAATTGTCTGTAATGGATGCCTATATGTAAGGAAAGAGTAAAAACTTTGCCTTATCACTTACACTCGCTATACAAACGATATTTACAATAAATTATCTTGTAGCTTATTTGAAGTATGTGAGTTCCACACTTCAGCCCCAAAGAGGCTGCACTAATACGTTTTTTCAAAAGTTTTCCGTTCGATATATCCCAAATCACCGTTTCTACCATTTTTCTGTAATTCTTATTAGCTATTTAAGGATTTTTAGTAATTGGATCAGCTGAAAAATATTTTTATTCTAGTCATTGCTGTTTGTCTTTGTATGACGCATGAAAAAGGATGAGATCTTTTGTGTGCATCTTTAATTTTGTTGATATACTTATTTGTGGCAGATCTCTCATACTATTTCCTGGTAAAAATTGATGAACTAAATCTTTGAAATCTTCTTTTTCGAACCATGTATGCGCCCCATTTCTAGCATATGGCAGAACGAGGGTGGTATTTTTTTCTTGATTGAATTGAATTTGCTTATTGATTTTACGTTTGTTTCTTCGTCAACAGGCTTCCTATTCTGAGATTCATTAAGACACGACGTATGGAACTCGAATGCAAAACTCTTTTTTCTCAAATCATCTGCCGAATCAATACTTTCTCATGAATTGGGATCGTTCTTCAAAACTAATATCTATAATAATGGCATTGGGAATCTGAATTACTACATGTTGAGCTTGGCTGCTGCAAAACACAATATTATTGCATTGTTTACCTGAAATCTCAACAAGAGCTTTCAATAGCTCACAAGCCTAGCAAAATTTTTTTTATTGACTGAGAGATCATATTAATATTTAAACTGCCAACTGATTTACTCACTGGCTATGGTCGAGCAAATGAAAGGAACCCAATGGTTATGATTGTTCGTCTGTTAACGAAACAGGAGACATGATTATAAATTTAAAAAAATCTCTGGTATTTATTCAATAACTTTCTCTAGTGGGAAGCTTGCTTTCTTCTTTCCTCCCGCTTGTTTGGCCAAAGCATGACAAAATTCAATTACAATGAAAGAAATGAAAAAATAATACTTCATCATATAATGTGCATGGTTATTATTCTGATGATTTTCAAGGACTTTTTTCTATCGCCATCATTGTTCACATACGAAAAAGCCAAAACACAAGAGTAAAGCGGCGAAAACACAGTACATTTTTCGATATCTGCAAGCGGTCAGCTTGAATGATGAAAACCAACTACCACAGATTCAACCACATTCCGTTTTGTACACTATGAAAGAAAATGTTACGAGTGACTTGAGGATATGGGTGACTGTGTGTCAAGATGCCGAAGATGATCAGGAAGAGACTTTTGTTCTATCTAAACCATCTCATCGTCGCCAACATCATCACACTCACATTAGTCAGAAAAATCATGTTAGTAGATTGGAATTATCTAGTCAAGTTCAAAGAAATATTTTACAATCCAGTAGTTATTTTTCAAGAATAAACACTGATATGCATCAAGTATATGTATAGATTAACAGTCATACATCTAAGGTATAACAACTGATTCATGTAGCACATTCTACATTAGTGAACGCAGTGAGTATCGAATTCAAAAACGATTATTCGGCACCTTGAATAGTACCGCAATAGCTAGTGAAGCAAACGACCTTGAGGGTGAGGGTAAGTCAAACAAACCATGGCGCGTTTCGGCTTTGTAGGTATTCAATGATTTGAAAAACATAGCTAAGCTACATAATGTACAAATTTTTGACAACACGAAGTCATTGTAGTGGATATCGTTAAAGTATTGGTGAGTCAAACAAAGTACCTCACGTTTGGAATTTATGTTCTTGGTTCAGTTTAGCAAGTATTGATTTTATTTAATTAGAAACAGAAATAACTGAAAGGGTGTGGTTGTGGGTGCATGTGTGCATCTGGATGTGTGGGGATCTGGGTGTGTGGGTGTATGGGTGTGGGTGTGTGAGTGTATGGGTGTGAGTGTGTGTGTGTGTGTCAGTATTTCTTTCACCCACACCCACATCCACTCACAGCCACACCCTTCTAGGACCGATATACCATATATAAGCAGATTTATTGGACACATTCCTTTCAGTTCCGTATTTCGTATATAGCAATGATATTTCATGAAGAAAATTTCTACTAACTGAATCAAGCTATGCCTGTATGGAACCATTTGAATGCTGATACTTATCAGCAAGTGCTTAAAAAAATTTCATCAGTGGATTCAACAAGATAAAATCTACACGAAAGAATATCAAAAAGATGTTCTTATCAATAAAAATTCTTTTTAGATACTTTTCCAATAAATATTATCCAAGCCCTGTCGATCAACGTTCTAGTAAAAAAATATTTCATGTATAAACTCTTTAGACAAAATAAATTCATAAAATCAAAGCTAGGTTCAAGTATCTTAGGAATATTGGGATTGGTAATAAAAACTGAAAACAAATTACATTCATTGAGAACTTGAAGGGAGCTAATAATGTCACTTCAATGTATCTTTATTCTGTTCAAGTTCATTAATTATATCAGAGAAATAATTAAAAGCATATTGAGTTTCTTGTAATTCTTTTACTTGTTTTAAAAGTGAATGTTGTAACAATTGTTTATATTTTGATCATTCACTTTCATCTTTATTTAAACTAGAAAAAATTGAAATCAGATAATTCGAATAAATTGAATATTACTTTACCCTGTATTTATAAAGTTTTCACAATGATCAGAAAGGCGAGGGTGTAGGTGTGGGGCTCGGTGTGGTTGTAATTCTTTCTTACGCTCACACCCATACCCTCACACCCACACCCACACCCACACCCACACCCCACACCCGCACCTACACTCACACCCTCACATCCACACGCACATCCACACCCTAATTCGAAGATTCATTTGGCTTACTGGATGCAAGCAATACATCAAAGGACATGCATCAGATGGAAAACTAGCGTAAAAAGCAAACTCTCAAGAATCTGGTAAGGAAATTGGAAACGATATGGGGACATTTTTGTCATAGTCTGTCAAATAAGGCTGGTTAGCATTGCGCCGTCGATATAAATCTCAAAATCTATTTATGATCTTATTCTAAAGAACATTGAATTCATTATTAACCTCTAAATGATCCGATGTATCCCACTCCACAACTTCATGACCGGCTTTTCGCAGAACTGCAACAGCTACATTAATCGCTCGTTGAACAGGTGGAGAAAGATGAACAAGTCCATCGAATCGAATTACACCAAAGCATAATTTGCCTACTTGAAATTCTTGAAACATATCTTCCCTCCACGGAATATTGTGAACTTTGGGATCAGCTAACCATGGTTTTGTTTCCGCAATGGCTTTGAAAATCGTTCGAATATTTTCTAGCGATCTCGTTATAGGACCTACGACACTTGGAACTGATTCTTGTCCATCAAGTGAATTTCTTGCCAATCGATAAGGAATTCGTCCATCAGAGGGTCGCAAAACGTAGATACCGTTCACAGCCACAGAAAATCGAACCCTTCCACCAAGATCAGTTCCAAAACCACAAATATTTCCTTTTAATGCAATAAGACTTCCTTGTCCACCTGAACGGTCACCACAACTCAATTCTCGATTTCTTGATTTACAGTTACACCAAGTAAATTACTATGAGTTTCAACAAGCATAAGAGTCTGAGGTACGGTTGTTTTGGCATAAACCACACCTCCAAGAGAAAGTACACAATCAACAAGTATCGAGTTGTATTCTAAAATTTCTCTCAAATAACCAACATAGCCCATGGCAGTTTCCACTCCTTTAATATGAAATTGATCTTTGAAACTAATAGGAATACCATGAAGAGGTCCCATTGTTTTTTTTTGTCCTGTAGATCTAAAATATTCATCAAGCATTTTCGCTCACTCAAGTGTCTGTTCAAAAAGTATTTCAGCTAGACAATTGACGAGTTGATGAGCAATTGCTGCACGTTTGTAGTAAGCGTCCGTGACTTGGACTGCCGAATATTTATCATTAACAATATAACCAGCAAGTTTATCAATATCATCAATTTCTGTCATTTCCAAATCGAGTTCAGATAATATTCCACATTGTGAAGGTATTACAGTACAATCTTTTGGAATTGATTTCAAAATCGATTCGGCAAGTCTCCATTCTTGTGGAATTAAGTTAAAAAAGGACGAACGCTTTTGAATTGCTTTTTCTTCCCATGTTTCTGCCGATGGCATGATTTTAAACGACCAACAACGTAACGAGTAGCTATGCAAACATAAGAGTGATATGTGTTTTTGTTGTGATGAAAGAAGCAAAGAACTAGGTAAATAGTAGCATCAATAAATGCTTACATATTACCTCTATCTTGACAAGATAAGAAATATGTTTTTTCATATGCAAACGTATGATCAATCAGAAAAAGAAAGACATTTGCATCGTTTCTTTTTATTCTAACACAACGTAACGTCATAGCGAATGGAAGAAAACTAGAACAAAAGCACGTTCTTTTCTCTATCACATAATTTCACGCAGTAGGAAAATCAAAGCCATGAGCTATTTCTATTCAATAGAAAACCATAGATGATTAATGTCAATTGTAAGAAAATAGAGAAATGAAGTAATGATAACGCTTTTAAGAATTCTTACTTCATCGTCAAATATGAAATCATGGATTTTTTTAGCTATAAAGAGTGCTGGTGGGTGTCTTTTCCGCTATGGACATTCACACCCTTCTCGTATACACTTTGAAGCATTTAAGTTTGCACTAATTTAATTTGAACACTAGAAAAGAAGTTCTTTACATGTTAATTCTGCTTAATATGAATATATATTGCATGAAATAGTCGAAGTGGCACGTTACAAATGTTTACATGTGAAAATATTCTTCGCTTGTTTATCACACGTTGAGGATTTTCTTAATATAACATAATATTTGACATGAAATAGAATTGCAGATTGATACGTATACCAATTCACTTCATAAGTGGTTATAGTGAAAGATCGGATTTGGTTTGTCTCATTCATATTGTTTTTCTTTTCTTTTTATTATATAAAATTAAGAATGTAGTATGAAGAAAAACGAAAAGGTTCGTTTACAAAAAATAGATTATTAGCAGATAAAATATAAACATTGAAGTCATCGAAAATGTTGAAGTGGATGGTAATGGGGATAGGATTGTGGATGAGGATGATTCAAGTTCTTTTGCACAGTACTTAAGAGCAATAGATGGCCATGTATTATTTCCTGTTAAATTTCCTCCCGGATTTTGAAACGAACAAATTTGTGGCCATGATTTTACGACGCTAAATAGAGCATCGCCAGGACTAAATAAAAAGCTTGTCTAAATAACGTGTATATTCATGATGGGTTCTTGTGTGCTTGAAAATCGCTTTTAGTGAGAATTTTATGTAGCCGTTAGGTAGTAATCGGCTATTAAAAAATTCAAAGCAAGAAGTGTATCTAGACTTTATGTACGGAGTAATAGTCTCTCTATTTAATTTCAATTGACTTTCTGTAACTTGCAAAACAAAATTAAATACTAACATTTTGTCCATAAAAAAGTCTATTTGCAACAAGAATTTCTCTGATTTCTTCACATCATACTACAAGAAAGATTCAAGGATTTGATATGTCTCGAAATTGACTATTTCATGAAACGAGCATTCTTTTATTGTTTTCTGTTGTATATTCAAGGCGTTAAACTAACGCTTCAGTAAAATAGCCATAGCTCATTATCAAAAGCTGAGACATTTTAATCGTTTTGATATTTTTTAGTGTGCCGTTGGCATTTACTTCATATACAGCGTTCTGACTCAAAAGCGATGTTCAAATACGAAAAATACCATTCCGAGCAACAAAAGATAAAACGCTACCACGTAGTATAGCCTGGTCGTTGTGATTGCCGATGAGTAATAACATAAAAGTCATTCGTGACGTAGCGTCGTTCAACACCACAATCAATCCATGAACGTGCCGCCTTTAATGCTTTTTCGTTTGGACTTGATGTATTGAAATTACCAATGAAAGAAATGCCTTTAATATAAAAAACACAGTTTTTAAAAAAGTATATAACATTCTTTTACCGTATGCAGCACTATTCCAGCCAGGTGAATGAGCACCTTGACGATCCCATCCTCGACCTTCATAAATTTTACCATTTTCACCAACTAGAAAATGATAACCAATATCTGCCCAACTTTGGTTACTTTGATGAAAAATTTGAATCTCTTTCACCCGGTCAATACATGATTCATCGTCATAACAACTATAAATAATAAAATGAGTTACATCATTTTACAATGGAATTCATCTACCTTGGAGGGTCCTCAGCGTGATGAATAACAAAGAATGAAAGAGGTTTTGTTGTTAGATTTGTTATCGAAGTTGGTTCTCGTGCACCCCATCCAGCTCGATTAACGAATGGTACTTCATCACAAGCTGATTGACCATGAACAACAGTAATAAATAGCAGATAAACTAATACTACACTTTTCATGCGTCCTGAAAGTAACATTTCGATGATAAAACGTCAAATAGAAAATACATTTGAAGTGGTTGATTTGTTTTGTCCTTATCAATGTTTCAAGCAATAAGAAAGGAGAGTCTTATCTTGATTTCTTTTCTTGTATTTGCCAGTTTTATTTTGCCTAAAAATAAATATCAAGTATGTACATGAAGAAGTAAAATAGTTGAATCTGATGAATTAGCTTTGACACAAACAATATATAACAATGAAACACGATGACAATAGAAACTCGAGATATTTTTTTCAATGAAAACTCTTAGACTTAAGATCACGAAAAAGATAATTTATCTTCAAGAAAGAACGTTAATGTCGAATGTTTGCCAAGAAGTTTCTATACCTGTGCTTACATTAAGATTTATTTAATTATATGAAAAGCGCATGGCAATAGATAACCAAAACATATGTGCAATTTTCTATACAATTATTATTAATATCATCTAAACAATTTCATTCATATTAGTATTTTTTTCGAAAAGAATCGAAAACAGAGAAGTCATGTTTCGATTAATGAATCTCAACATTTTTTACTTGTTGCAGTATTGGAGTGAATGAATAAAAATGTAAATATTGAAAAAGACAATTTTAATCCTTTCTAGGAACATTAAATTTGAGATAAATCAACAAGACGAATAAAAGTTTTGATATATTTTACACTGAAGCATAGCATGTAAATAATTTCTTTTGATGACTTATGTCTTTTGTTAATGACGTTTCGAAGATTAATTCGTAGATTCAAGATATTACAGTTTATGGCCACATACATTCTAAAGTTGGTAACATGAAAGACAACAGGATAGAGATGAACACAATTTTTATAGGAATTTACTTTTGTGAAACACGATCTCAAAGGAGTGTTGAAGTGTTTAGGGGTAGAAATTTGCACCCAGGGTATGGGTGGGTATGTGGGTGTGGATGTGGGTAAGAATGTGGGTGTGTGAGTGTGGGTGTGGGTATGAACGTGGGTGTGAGTGGTGTGATTCATGGGAGTGGATGTCGATAGTATTGCATGTAACTCACACCCACACCCACACCACACCACACTCATACACCCACACACCCACACCCACACCCTGCATCATACTGAAATTTGAAAGAACACGCAACTCACTGAGTTCGTCTTTCATGACGCGATCATGAACTGTCAATCACTAAGTAGTCCTTAGAGAACGGAACTGAATATGTGAATCAGTAGGAGGTTGCGAATTGCAACCTATAAATAGCGCCCGATTGCGAACATCGACGACTAAGAACTTTTGTTTTCGACACTGGAACTTCTATCGCCATATGTATAAATTATAAATGATATAAACTAAAAGTAACCCTGTTTCTATTCTTATAGGACAGTGGTATACCATTTAGAATTTAGAATTCATATATATATGTAAGTTGGAGCTTATATGTTCGAGTCTAGCTTCGAGTTCAAATCGAGCTCCATCCTATAAAGTTTGGTATCGAAATTCGAACTTGAGCTAAAGTTGGGTACATGTCTAATTGATAGTTATGCTGTGTCTCGTTTTAATCATCGTTTTAAAGATATTCTAAATGCCATTAATTATTATTTAATAACTATTTGCGTAATATCTTGATTTTCTAGCATTTACAAAATTTATATTTAATATAATGATAATTTTCTAACTATGATGAAATTGCTAAATCTGGTAAAATTTATTCAAAAGTTTTTTTAAGAATAATAATGAAAATTCTAAATATAAATATTTGTCCAAATACATATTAAATTTATTATATAGAGATATTAATTACCCATTAATCTTTTTTTCTTTTTCAATTTCCTTCGAAATATTATTTTGTTTTGAGGTAATATTTCATATTCGATTGATACTTCATAAAGAAAACATCTTGACAAGTTTCATTTCAAATAATAAACATATTAGTTCGAATAATAGCATTATATTATAACATATATCTACTACAATTAGTAACAAATAATAGTGTTTACTTAACATAGAATTGAACGAATCTGAGACATAATTCGGACTAGAATCGATTCGAGTCACTGTTTGTTTAAAAACTCCGATTTAGTTTGAACTTGAAAATTGAATAACACTAACACAGTTTTGTCTAAAGTGTGTATTGTAAGTCCATGGATTACAAGCAGGATTTCCGCATCTGGATGATATTTTATTCGAAATTATTCTGATATACAATATCCAAATTAACATCAATTTACACTATGAAATACGTAAATGATTGCTTAGAAAAATCAAGAAAAAGTTTCAAGTAAATTGTTTGTAACAATACAATATAAAGTTTATGAGTTACAAATTGGATAAATTGAAGTGGTTTAACCACGTTTGACGTTGAATCTGTTAGAATAATGTATAAAAAAATATTCCTTGTGAAAATACCGGACAATGTTTCTTGCGTGACCTTTCCTCAGTCGTTGTTCTCTTGTTTCTGTTCTGTGGCTTTGCGTCTTGTAGTCTATTCCCTGGACTGAAGAAGGGAGAGCCATATGACACAAAATGAGTTTATGTGTCTATCTGTTTGTATGTGACAGATTAGAGGTCAAAGACCGTGGGTTTAAAGAACATTATTAAGGTTGCCAAAATTAAATCGTAGTCACGAAACCTGTATCTGTAGTTAGGTTTTCAACAATCATCAGTGTCGTTTCTCGATAAAATAGGATTGTTTCAGGAAACTGAGAACAAATTTGGATTCATTAATCCCGATTAGCATTCATGAATTTT